CTGTGGGTCGACGTTTTGTTTAACGCTGTTTCAGGGAACGCTTTAGTTCACATCTACCTTTTTCTTCTTCTTCCTCCAACTCCTTTTATTCGTCTTCTTCATCCTCTCCCACCTCCTTACTCATTCGTCCTCCTCTTCTCCTCTTCTTCTTTCTTCTTCTTTCTTCTTTTCTTCTTCTTCTTTCTTCTTCTTCTTCTTCTTCTTCTTCTTTCTTCTTCTTCTTCTTTTCTTCCTCCTCCTCCTCCTCCTTCCTCCTCCTGCCTCCTCCTCCTCCTCCTCCTCCTTCTCCCTCCTCCTCCTCTTCCTCTTTTCTCTGATTAGCCCCAAGGGCTTTTTTTAATATCTTTGGAATGATATGAAATGGTTTTCCGCTCGAAGGGACTAATTGTATTTAAGAGTCTGGGGCGGGGTGGGGTGGGATGGGGAGGGGGCTGTGGCGTGTAGCGAAAATGAGCAATGTACGTATTCATGTTGTGATTAAGGTTCAGCTTGTTGTGGGTTAAGAGGGAATGTCGTTTCTGAAATTAGCATGGCAAGTGTGAAAAGATGATGATTCATTGGTGTGTGTGTGTGTGTGTGTGTGTGTGTGTGTGTGTGTGTGTGTGTTGTGTGTTGTGGTGTGTGTGTGTGTGTGTGTGTGTTGTGTGTGTGTGTGTGCGCTTGTGTGCGTGCATGCATGCGCGCGTGTGTGTACGCGCTCGTTACCAGGTGTTGGTACACGTGTGCAGACTCCGTTTGACCGACGGTGGAGCGGGATCAGTTTTCCATCGCGACGCACGCGTGATGTTTGATGTGCGCGGTGCCTCCGCGGTGGTCGTGTCGCCCTCAGCCACACTTTCGTAAACAAAGCGGCGTTTCTCCTCCAACATCACGTCTCCAGCAGTCTTCCGCGTGTACGCCCGTCGCCCAAGCAGTCAGCGTTGTGATCGTGACGAAGATATTCATGGGCGTGTAGCTCGGCATATTGTCCCATTGTTAGCGTATCGCGGGCGTGGCGAAGGGCGCTGCCTTGACTATGGGCGTGAAAGGGATAGACGTCGCAGTGGCGTATCTCAGAAAATCGAGGGATTGTTGCAAGTGTGCTTCTAGTGCGCGTGGGGACTGCTTGTGGCCTCTTCTCTGTGGCTGTTGTTTTAGTCCAACGCTGTGTCAGGGGGAAGTTCATGTTGGGATATGTTATTCTGTCTTTCAGATGCGACGTAAGTCAATCAGTCTTCTCTCTCTCTTCTCTCTCTCTCTCTCTCTCTCTCTCTCTTCTCTCTCTCTCTCTCTCTCTCTCTCTCTCTCTCTCTCTCTCTCTCTCTCTCTCTTCTCCCCATATTCTCATTTCTCCTTCCCATTCATTCCACCCTCCTTCGATCCTGCGCTCCTTCGTTCCTTTCCTCCCCTCTCTTCCTTTTACCCTTTCTCCCTCTTTTCGTCACCCTATCCTTCCTCGGACAAAGACGTAGATCTGCAGGTAAAATAATTCGACGTCACGCCGCCTTTGGTCCGCAAACACCTGTTTAGTGAAAGGTGGAGGGGAATGGTAGAGGGGGAGGGGAGGGGTAAAGGGAGGGGGGGGTAATGATATTATGCTTATTGGGACGTGACTGCCTCGTCCTGCATGACCCTTTCTGAGCGGCGAGTTACCCCTTTCTGTGAGAGACTTATGTGGCCCTTTCTGTTGACCGCTTTTTATGAGAGTCACGTGACCCTTTTTCGTTTCGTCAGCCCCTCCTTCCACGGGACGAAAATAGACGTCGATCTGTAGGTAAAAAGCATTCGAGGTCATTAGGTCTCCGGTTGGGTCATTTCTGCGACTCGAACGACCTTCGCTGAGAGTGCCATTTCAGGGAGGGGTCGAATAGCCCTTTCTGGGGGATCGAGTTTATTCCGTTTTTTGTTTCTCTCTCCCTTTTTTATTTGTCTAGACTTCTGTTTTGTTTGTTTGTTTATTTGTTTATTTGCATATTTTAACGAAGAATGGTCATTTGATGGATGGATTCTGCGGTTTTTGGTTTAAAGGGGAAAAAAAAGTTAATTCTGTTGCAATCTTGAGTTAGCCGACCGAGATAAGGATAAGGATGGGATTGATAAGAGACGGATTGTAGTCGTAGTTTGATCTCCTGATTGCCTTCCGGGACACGGGAGAGTGGGAGAGGGAGAGGGGAGTGGAGGGGGGAGAGGGAGAGGGGAGAGGGAGAGGGGAGAGGGAGAGTGGAGAGAGGAGAGGGAGAGTGGGAGAGGGAAGAGTGGGAGGAGGAGAGTGGGAGAGGAGAGTGGGAGAGTGGGAGATGGGAGAGGGGGAGGAGAGGGGAAGAATAAGAGTGAGAGGACATGAACCCAGTGTTGTGTGTGTTGTTTTTTTTTTTTTTTTTTGAAGCGACGTGGCGTGTGCCACGTGTGAGGAATATGTGCGGCGAAACACCCGTGTGTGCTTCCCAAACAGCTACATGCACACACACACGCACGCGTACATGCATATGTATATGTATATGTATATCATACCCACAGTCACACTCACATGCACTTGTGCTTGTACATATACTTGCACATACACACGTACACACACATGTATATACGTAAACATATGTACATACGTAAACACATGGAGAGTGAGTGAGTGAGTGAGTGGTGAGTGAGTGAGTGAGTAGTGAGTGAGTGAGTGAGTGAGTGAGTGAGTGAGTGAGTGAGTGAGTGAGTGAGTGAGAGGTGATTACATAACCGCATACTCAAGTGTCACCATCCGCCCCTGTTTCTCCCGGCCATGTCCTCGATTCCCTCCGCAGTTGTTTCGCGGCGACGGGAATGGTGAGCGCTGTGTCCCCTGCGCCAGCGAAGTCCGCGTCCAGTTTTCGAAACGAGCAAGCAAATAGAGAGAAAGAAATGTTAAGGTTTCGGCGGGATCCGTGGAGAGGAAAATTCAGTAGGAGGAGGAGGAGGAGGAGAAGTAATAATAAAAAAGAAATAAAGGAGGAAGAGGAAGAGGAAGGAGGAGGAGGAGGAGGAGGAGGAGGAGGAGGGGAAGGAGGAGGGAGGAGGGAGGAAGGAGGAGGAGGAAGGAGGAGGGAGGAAGAGGAGGGAGGAAGGAGAGGGGGAGAGGAGGAGGAGGGAGGAGGAGAGGAGGGAAAAGGAAAAATGAGAAGAAACGAAAAGGGAGGAGGTTCGGGAGCTAACCTAAAAGGGGGGAGGGGAGGGGTGTTGGATAGCACCTGTTACACCGCGGGCGAGGGTTTGGGCGCCGTCCGAGTGTAGCTGTAACAGGTGCGCTCCGTCCCCTCGACACCTGTGTACGGCTCGATATATCCATGACCCATTATGCGTGTATTTTGTTATTGTTTTTCGTCTGATTATTATTTCCTTTCGTTATTGTTTGTCGATTGGAAATGAGGAAGAGGGCATTGTGTGTGCGTTTTGAATGTTTGTGTTTTGATGTTGATGTCTGTGTTTGAGTGTTGTTTTGTGTTTGCGTGCGTGTCTTTGTTCGTTTGAAATTGGGTCGGGGAAAAGACGTGTTTATTTACTTGTTCGTGTGTGCTTTAAATACTACTATAACAATGAGTGTGTCAATGAGTTAGCTGTCTCTGTGAGGAGTGACATGCCCCCCCCCCCCCGTGACGAAATGCGAACGAACGGTAATTTTGGTTTCTCCTCCCACTCTTGGTATCGTCTGCTTCTGACACTTGTTCGCCAGAGAGATAGAGATAGAATAGAAAGATAGAAGATAGAAAGGAAAAAAGAAAGGAAAAAGGAAAGGAAAAAAAAGAAAGGAAAAAAAAGAAAGGGAAGGAAGAAAAAGAGGGAGATGGAGAGGGAAGAAGGGAGGGAGGGTAAGATGTTTACGGGGAAAAAAGACAATGGGCAAAGGGAAACGTGTTGAAGAGAAGAGGGGGGGGTATTTTTTTTCTCTTTTACTTCGTTTCGTCTCTGTTCAGGACACTACGTTATTGGGGCTTCTTGTGTTTGTGTGTCGCGATGTGTATTTACCATCATCATCATCATCATCATCATCATCATCATCATCATCATCATCATCATCATCATCATCATCATCATCATCATCATCATCATCATTATCATTATCATCTCTCCCTCCCTCTTTCCACCTTCCCCCGCTCACACACACACACACACACACACACACACACACACACACACACACACACACACACACACACACACACACACACACACACACCACCATTCCATCCATCCATCCATCCATCCATCCATCCATCATCCATCCATCATCCATCCATCCATCCATCCATCCATCCATCCATCCATCCATCCATCCATCTATCCACTCACCCATCCACACGCACGCACGCACACCGCACACATGGCAGCCAGCGTGGTGGCCCGGCGGCAGTAGGTTCCCTGCCGGAGTACCACGCAGTACCGTGTAAGCAGCTGCGGGTCGTGGGCAGTGCCAGTGCCATGCGGGACCATGTTATGTTCGTTTCTTTTTTTTGAAATCATGAACACGATGGATAAGGAAGAAAGATAAGGAAGACGTTTACGCGGAGATAAGGCGGGGAGGAGAACGGTGGAGACACACTCGAGTTGCTGAGTTGCACGAGGTCGGGCGGATGCGGGAGAGGGGGGGGGGGGGAGGCGTTCATGTGTGAGGCTCAGGCGAGCTTGGGAGGAGGAGGAGGTATTTTTTTTCTAGGGTGGAGGATAGGTGGAGGATAGGTGGAGGATAGGGGGCGGTGGAAACTCGGCTGTCAGTCCGAGGAGAGAGCTTATTTTTAAACCCGTGAATCGTGTTTTGTTTACCCGCGCTGGTGACGTTGCATTCGTCGGCGCGGTAACTACGGGAGAACCGCTGCTGGATAGTCGTGCAGCGTTGCCTTGGGAGGAGGTTGGCGGCGACGGCAAGACACAGCGGTGTTCCAGCTGACACATCGGTTAAATGGGGAAGGAATGGCGAGAAGAGGGTGTTGTGAATACGTGTGTGTGTGTTCGGGGAGGAGGAGGAGGGAGGAGGGGAGGCGACGGAAGGAGGGAGAGAGGGAGGTCGGAGATGGAGGGGCCGACGTGGTGTGTTCGTGGCCGGGGTTTGGCGGGTGGTTATTTTGGCGTCGCGAGCCGGTATCCCTGGCAACGTGGGTCGTGCGGCCGCGGGAACTTCGCGCTCTTTTTCGCGTTGTTATTGTAGCATAGTCTGATATGTGGGCTTCGATGTTTGTTTTTCGCATACAGCGGGTGCAATAAGTCTCATTTTGTCTCATTTCCATAGTAAAGCAAGTTATGATTACGTACAATAGAAAGCCCTATTAGTTTAAGGAAAATCCGATTTGGGTAAAGAAGCATAAGATTCTTAGTTTTACCTTGATATTATTTGGGGACAGCATATCTGGTGCCTTTTTCCTGAACATTCAAGAATGCAGCTTTGTTTACCACAGGCAATTGTAATACCAGGACTTGTCATGAAGTGAATATATACCTGAATAAGGAGGAGGGTTGCCTCCCTCCGTGCACGGGAAATGGCTGTGAAAACTCTGTGCCAGTGCAGTGCCATGGAAGGATCTTGTGCCATGAATCACACCTCAGACATCAAATATTGAACTGAAAGGAAGCCTTGAACACTTAAGATAACAAAATGGAAATGTACGAGACCCACAACATGCAGGAACAATCACCGGACCGCAGGACGGTGGTCCACGAGAATGAATCTCTAAAGCAGAAGATTTTGCAAATCGAAATGCAAAATGTGGCTCAGCAAAGGCGGCTTCAGCAGCTAGAGAAGATGGTGATGGAGCTCAGTCGCATGAAATCCCCGAAGGATGTTCTGGACACCCCGCACATGACGCCCTTCCGAGAACCCACCGAAAACGGTAGCAAGACAGAGAGAGCACAAGAAGGAAGGTTAGAGGACGCCTCAGCTGGGGCTCGGGGGAAGGAAGGAGCAGGCGGCGGTCGCGAGGAGGACGACCATGCCGATGGGGGCATGTCCGACATCGTGGCAAACCTGATGGACGAGTTCGACCGCACCGCCAGAGAGAACGGCCTGATCTACGGGATGACGCCGACGCGAAGCACGGCCGATTCGGAGGACCAGGGCGACGACTTCACGCAAGGGGAGGGATCAGGAGAGCCTGACCTCCATGTGGCAGCTGAGGATGGGTGCGATGTATCCCCCACTCCACTGCCAGCTTTCCTCACGCCTTTGTATCAGAACTCTGTATCAAGCAAAAATGAAAATGGCTTCAATGACGAACCTTTGGTAACACCTCGGTTAAGCCTCACCACACCTGTGCTTCTCACTGTTAATGCACTGAAAGAGATGGAGAGAAGCCAGACTACTTGCCCAGAACCATTTCAGAGAGAAAACTATTTATTTTCCAGTGTGTCCTCCCATTCTCAAAGCTCAAAAGTCTCTCCAGTTAAGTCAAGAGATATCTTACCCGCAAAAGCATGTCCTTCATTCTCAGCTGTTATTGGCAGCAAGACCAGTCCCTTTGCAAACCTTTTGCGAGGATTAAACCATGTAGCCAACAAAAATCCAGGTGGAAACTCCAACCCTGGAGATGGCCACATGTTGCAGGCAAGCAGGAAGGCACAACCTACTCACATGCAAAGACTGCCTTTGAGGTCTCAGATTCCAGGAAGTCCCAGTAGCATAACAAGTAGCATCACAGGTCATGTTTTCAAGTGGAGCCAGTCATTAACTTTACCTTTACTGTCACCACTTCCTGAAAGCCATTGTGGGGACATCCAGGCACAAGTAAGTAATATGCACTCCTTTCATTCAAGACTTACGAAGTCATCATCAAAAAGTAAATATTTAAATTTCAGTTAGTAAGTCTTTTCGCTTATTGTTTCTTGGTACAGTAGGATTCATAAAGAGGGTTCGTCTTCAGAAAATGGAAGGTAACCGGTATTGTGAGTGAGGAGTAAGAGTAAGTGAGAGTGTAAGATTGTTTTTTTGTTGTTGTTTGTCCAGGATTACTTTTCTTACAAGACTTTCTTTCTGACTTTGTTGTGTTTAGTATTTGGTATATTTTTGGTTTGAATGTATTTTTTCTTTCCCTTGTTTTTTTTCACCTTTATAACTTTCTGATTAAAAGAAAAAAAAAGAAAAAAAAGTATTACCTTATATTATTATTTTTTCCTGCTACATGTGAGACTGTGTATGAGTGTATACATGTGTGTTAGCTTTCCTTCTAACCCCTATTTAACTGGTCTTCTTGCAGGGTGCTTCAGATGACGATTTCTTAACAGAGTTGATGTACAATTTAGCAGAAAAGCAGGACCAAGAGGAGGTATTATTTTTTGAGAACCCATTTCTTATTCCAAGTTATAGTTTAGTAGCTGAAGGTGTCCCCCCTTTGCCTTTTGGTATCACCACGACAGGTATTCGTGGTGGTACGGCAGTGCTGGCGGCAGAGACATTGGCGTTGATGTGGTGGGAAGCCAGACTCAGTGTGTGTCATTGCGGTCATGGATTGCCTTGTCATTTTAGCCATGCAATACCTTGTCATTGCAGTCTTGGGTTGCCTTTGGATTGCAGCCTTTGACTGCCATAACGTTTTTGCCCAGGAATGTGTATTGAGTAGAGTGGAGGTCGGTGGGGAGAGACTGAGGCTACTACTTGTAACTATTCCTCTCCTTCCCCTGTCATGGAAATGTGTAAACTTCATAAGATGCTCTTGTAATGGAGATTTAATTTCTTTCCTTGTTAGATGTTTCTTAATGCTCTTGAGTTTCAATTGCATCAGTGTAGTTCTTCATTTGATAATTTTTAGTTTTTTTTTATTGATTTCTTATTTTAAGAAATAGCCATGCTAGAAAAAAATCTGTTTCTTGATGATAATGGACAAGGGGGAAGGATTGATTACTGGTTATCAGCACTGGAGTAGTAATTGTTGCAGATGTTGCTAAGTATTGCACAAAGGAAAATGCATGACCATTGTATTGAAAAGTAAATCACCATAGTAGTAGTTGTATGTATAGTTATTGCACATTATACTTTGTATCAAAATTTTGGTAGACTTTTCTGTTCATTTATGGTATTCATTTTATTTATTTTCATATCCACCTTCAGAAATTAAGTGTTATATTTTTCATCTCTATCTTTTCTTCTCGCCATATATTCCAGCACCTCTTCCCAGTTCCTTCTATGTCTGTTTCATCTTCAGTTTCCTTACCAAGAGTGCCATCTGTATCAGTTCATACGCCAAATCACCATCCACAGCAAACATCTGCAATGATCTCAAAGGGAGACATCAGAAACATCATCAGTATCAGGAAATTCCTTATTTCCTATATTAAAATGAAGCTTTACCAGTAGGACCTAATAGTCAATCTCATTATCTGCAGGCATCAGATGAGGAGGACTTGGTTGTGGACGAGGTCGTCTCGCTGTCCATGGTGGGCAAAGGCAGACGGCAGCGCTCAGAATCCATTTGCTCGGTCTCTGGGCCTTGTGTGCCACCTGATCTCCTCCTCAACACGTGCAAGGTATGTCAAAGAAAGCTTTTACATATGGTGTGTCAAGCTATGTTAACGTTTTGTACATTTTGGTTTTGTTAAGGCTATATTGACTTTTGTGTCTGCCTTTTTAAAGAAGTGAATATATGTATATGCTTTGAATGTTGTAATATTTTCTTAGGGATTACTTTGATCAGTAACAGAATAACTTCCTGGCTTACCTGGAGTAGTTCACACATTCTTTTCAAATTTTTATTGTTGTATTATATCTTACAGGTTGAAGACAGTCAGGTGAAGGAAGAGGATGTTTTAACAGAAATTGCAGGTGTGTTTGATGATTCCACATTGCTGGCAGATCAGCTTATTGAAGCCCAGTTTAGCCAAGAGGAACTGAATCAGCTGGTCAAAGAGGAGGTGGTGTCCGACTCAATACTCTTGCCGAAAAATACCAGCGCACCTGCCATGCAAGATGATGAGGACCTCCAGTACTTGAATATCTTACAAAATGAAGCATCTACCATTTGTGAAAATAGTGCTCTGAGAAAGTCTAATACAGAAAGGATTAACATTGAGGATGTGGACATCAAACCTGAGGAATTGGATCGGCCAGTTCCTTCAAAAGAGCCACTGAAAGGTATTCATAAAAGCTATTTTCCTTTTCTTTTTTCATATGTCTTCAAAATACCATGCCTGATACCATTCCATAATGAATATAGATTTGTTTATGCATTTATTTTCCACATTTGTAGACCAGAGAACTTATCAAAATTGTGAGTCACTCCGACTAATTACTCCCTCCCCCCTACCCCTTCCAAACAGGTTTGGAGAAATCTAAATCTGTGGCTGACCTAAGTGGACTTAATGCACAGGTCATTAGTGAGAAGGTGAGTGTGGTATCGCACAGGCGGGTAGTGGTGAGGTTCAGTGGTGTTGGAAGTGATGGGAAACTTTGTGGTGGTGATGGAAGTGGTGGTAATGGTGGTGGTGCTGTTGTTGGGAGAACATTGGGGACTGCTGGAGGAGGGAGCATCACACGTCTCACTCTCCCTAGCAAGGTGAGGGTGTGCAACATAAGAGGATGTAGCGCATTCACCTGCATAGATCTGTATTTTCTTGTTCCCCCACTGCCTCAATGGGGACATGAATGAGCAGTGAAGTTTGCGCTAGTTTTGGCTGACTTACATATATCTGGTCCATTTGTAGGTTGGTTCCTCTCAAGGAATGTCAGTTAGCCTCAGTACTTGATACTGCAATTTTGAATTGTATACCCTGATTTTTCTAAATTTTGAAATATAGAGCTGAATTATGTACTTTTGGAAATGGTAAATATTTACACAATGCAAAGAGGTATGAAACATTTTTATTATTATTATTTTTATTAGATGACGCTTGTCTTGTATCTACACAGCATACAGTCTTATTCGTTGACTAATGTTCTTTCAGTTGTGTGTCATGTAATATGTATATAAGTACTGAGTACTTTGTAGTCAATCCTGAATTATTGTATACATGCCAGAAGATCACGTATACATATAGTGTCTACTGTGGTTTTGGTTTATTGATGTTATTTACACACCAACAGTTTCACGAGGGGAAGGGGATGGGTGCGGGATGGATGTGGTGTATTTGATATGATGACATGCCATACAATGTCAGATTTATGAGTTAAGACTTCTATTTCCTAAAAAAGATGAAATAGAATAGCTCACTTGTGATCAATGTATATAGAATTCCCTATACAAAATATAGTGGGATGCTAACCAATATTCGTACAGCATTAGGAATTGATAGCAGTTAAGATTTCTCCTCAGAGGCATGTGAATGATATAAATTATGCAGTTGAATAGTGTACTCTTGAATTTAACATCATAGGAAAATGAGAAAATTGCTTACTTAGAAACTTGTAGCCCTTTTGTGCATTTGTGTTGTTAACTTATGCAATTAGACAGATTTGCTAGAACTAGTTAGCATGAAAAGTGAACGGTTGGTTTATATGTTCCCTTAAATAGAGCCTAATTTGTTACTCACAAATGTTCTGATTTGTCAGAAAAGAGAGTATACACTCATGTTGTAAGGTGTTGACTTTGTTGAAAATTAACAGTTCCAGCATATTTCCTTTCTTTTCATTCCCATTTATTTTTGATACATTATTAGCACACAATATCCCCAGGCAAATCTATTCAATAACATTTCTTCTCCCACCAGGTGAAGTCAGTTCAAGCCTTGCAGGGCAATCGGACGTTAAGCATCGATGGCAAGGAAGTTAAGCTGCCGGCTGGCTCGATCATTCTGGCTGTAGTAAATGAGTCAGGTTCCCTTGTGCCCTTGCCACAGCTCCAGGTGACACCACAGTCCCTGACTCGTGCAGTGAAGACAGAGAGCCCTGAGAGAGGGCAGGATGAGGAGATTGATATTGAAACAGTCTCTGAGAAAACTCCAGGTGAGTTGGTGAATTGATTAATTTTTTTTTATCTTTCTCTCTTTTTCCATGTTCCTTCCCTCCTTTTCCTCTTCCTCAAACTCCATCATTTTTCCTCCTTATCTTATAGTTCTGTAGTTATCCAGACCTTTTACTACATTCCTTATATTATCTAAAGGTAACTCTCCAATTTTTCTCCTCAGTGTTGGAGGCAGGTGACCTGGATAGCCTCTTGGCACAGTTTGAGGCTTCTGAGGCAGTTAACAAGACCTCAGGTGAAGGGGCCAAGGATGGCCCCAGCAGTGCTCCTGAGCAGGTGAAGGTCAGCGGAGGGGCTTTAACACAGAGCAGGGGGCCCTCTGTGCCAGGTATTGTCCCCCTGGGCATCTCCCCACAGTCCTCCCCCACCCACCAGAAGATCAAGGATGCTTTGCCCAAGGAGATCATTGAGAAAATTAAAGGTAGGGACTTGGGTTGTCTTAGTATGTATATTCCTTCTTGTCTTTCCTCCTCCTGCTCCACCACCTCCACCTTGTTTTTCTCCTCTATCTTGTCAGTCTCTTCCACCTCCTCCTTGTCGTCGTCCTCCTCCTCCTCCTCGTCCTGCTCCACCTCTTCCTTCTTACTCTTTTTCTCCTGTATTATGAATGATAATTTTTTTATGGAAATTAAATATGCATGTCAGATTAGACTAAATTTTTGCTGATACTGACATTGTCTTAATTAATCAACTCTCTTTTAGCATCAACTAAACGGAAAAGTACGCAAATGTTGTCGGAGCCACCTGTGCTGCGCAAAGGCCGTGGAGGGAGACAGCAGGAAGGAACTACCAACCGCAATAAAATCCTTCGTGTTGCGCCCCAGAGCACTTCTGCACAGGTATAATGTGTGGTTTTACTCTTAGTTTTAAAAGGAAAATATTGGCATCTGGTAGCATTTACTTTTGAGGTAAAAATTCTCATACTACAAAAATATATAAAAGTTGCTTACCCAACTGACAAGCTCAAGGAATTGAAGTCTAAGACTTAATTGAATATTTTTTACTCTCCTCAGACTGCAACAGATGAACGAGTCCCTCCTCCAGTAGACCATGACTACTGCTTCTCTCCAGACAAACAAAAGCATGCCAAGCAAGACTCCAGTGATAGGATGAATGATGAGTTCTTTAATAAACTTCCTGATTATTACACCACTATGTCGAGACGCCAGTCAAAGAAGGCAAGCATCTGTTCGGATGATGGGCATGATGACGGTGGTAAGAAGGACAGTGGTGTGGAGTCGGGAGATGTGAGTGATGCGAGTGTGGAAACAGAGGAGCGCAAGAAGGAAGGAAAAGATGGAATGAGTAGACAGGAAGGGTGGAATAACCAGGAGAAACTCAAAAATAATGATAACACAGATGATGTATATGACAAAATTCCTGCTTACATGACTGACATTGGCAATGTCAAGCCCAAAGATGAAGAAGAGATGAATGAGAATGAAGAAAAGGATGGAGATAACATAGTCATTACTAATAAGCCTGAGGTGAAGAAAATCAAACGGAAACTCAATCTGTCAGAGTACCGGCAGAGAATAAGAAGTGCGCAGAGTAGTACTTGTCCCTCCCCTAACCATACTGACTCTGTGCAGACCTCGCCAAAGCAAGGTGACTTGCCGGTGTCTGATCTGGTCCAGAAGATGGAAGAGGCCAAGACTGAAGAGGAGAAGTCAGATCTTGCACCTAAAGATACTGCTGTCGATGTAGTAGAGCCAGAGGAAGACACAGAGGAAGGTGAACTGAAGGGGGATTCCGACCCAGAGGTTCCTATGAACCAGCTGGCGGAGAAGGCAGCTGAAGTCTACAGTGCAGCAAACAGGACACCGGAAAAGACAATGTTGCCTGTTCAACCAACTTCCTGCAGCAGCATGGGGTCAACAAGCTCTCGTGATAGTAGAAGGAGAAACTCCAGGACTTGCTCAATGAGAAGGTGGTCATCCTCAAGCAGAAGTAGAAGCCGAAGTAAGAGTCCCTTGAATAGCAAAAAGAACCACCTATCTCGCAAACACAGATCTTCACGTGGGAAGAGAAGAAGGCGTCACAGGAATTCCCACTCGTCAGTTTCTCCACACAGTTCCTCCAGGAGGAGGTGGTCCAGATCTCGGTCACGCTCCAGGTCCAGGTCCAGGTCCAGGTCCAGGTCAAGGTCAAGGTCAAGGTCAAGGTCCAGATCCAGGTCAAAGGGGCGATGCTCATCCACATGTAGTTCATCCTCGTGCTCAAGCTCAAAATCTAGGTCAAGGTCTCGATCTACCAGGACACGAGATAGGTGAGGTCTGGGATGTAGCAATGGTGATGCTTTATATTTAAACTTCCTGTAAAGCTTAGAATGGAAAAAAGTTATCAGAATAAATTTACTTTATTACAATCACAATTGATATAAGAGCAAATTAAGTAAGAAAGAGATTTATTTTCATTATTTTTCACATTGAAATTCATAAACTTTTTCTTGAATCATCAGGTGGGGATATTCACGTAGATTCTCTAGAAGTCGGGATAGGAGACGCAGATCTCACAGTCGCTCAAGATCACGTTCTTCATCACGCTACAGCAGAGTAACACGTTCCCGCTCGCCCGTCTGGGGGAACAGAAGATCCCGCTCACCCCCTCGACTCCCACCGAGAATAAGGAGACCGGTAAGAGAAAAAAAAAAAAAAAAAAAAGGGAAAAAGTCTTGGAATAGGTTGTGATAGAACAAAATTGTTGGAAGTCCAAGAATTATTCATAATGTTAAACAGTGGACTGTATTGTCTTCTTTACCTTTTCTGTCTCTGTCTGTCTGTTTTTCTCTCTCCCTCTCAGTTTATTTCTATCTCCCTCTCAGTTTGTGCTTCTCTCTCTCTCTCAGTTTGTGCTTCTCTCTCTCTCTCAGTTTGTGCTTCTCTCTCCCTCTGTTTGTGCTTCTCTCTCCCTTTCAGTTTATTTCTATCTCCCTCTCAGTTTGTGTTTCTCTCTCCCTTTCAGTTTGTGTTTCTCTCTCCCTCTCAGTTTGTGTTTCTCTCTCCCTCTCAGTTTGTGTTTCTCTCTCCCTCTCAGTTTGTGTTTCTCTCAGTTTGTGTTTCTCTCTCCCTCTCAGTTTGTGTTTCTCTCTCCCTCTCAGTTTGTGGTTTTCTCTCTCCTTTCAGTCTCTCTCCCCTCAGTTTGTGTTTTCTCTCTCCCCTCTCAGTTTGTGTTTCTCTCTCCCTCTCAGTTTGTGTTTCTCTCTCCTCTCAGTCTCTCTCCTCTCAGTGTGTTTCCTCTCCCTCTCAGTTTGTGTTTCCTCTCTTCAGTTTGTGTTTCTCTCTCAGTTTGTGTTTCTCTCCCTCTCAGTTTGTGTTTCTCTCTCCCTCTCAGTCTTGTTTCTCTCTCTCTCAGTTTCTCTCTCCCTCTCAGTTTGGTGTCTCTCTCTCAGTTGTTTTCTCTCTCTCCTCTCTCTCTCAGTTTGTGTTTCTCTCTCCCCTCTCAGTTTGTGTGTTTGTGTTTCTCTCTCCCTTTCAGTTTGTGTTTCTCTCTCCCTCTTCAGTTTGTGTTTCTCTCTCCTCTCAGTTTGTGTTTCTCTCTCCTCTCCTCATCAGTTTGTGTTTCTCTCTCTCTCCTCTCTCCTCTCTTTCAGTCTCTCTCCCTCCTCTCTCCCTCTCAGTTTTGTTTCTCTCTCCCTTTCATTGTGTTTCTTCTCTCCCTCTCAGTTTGTGTTTCTCTCTCCTCTCAGTTTGTGTTTCTCTCTCCCTCTCAGTTTGTGTTTCTCTCTCCCTCTCAGTTTGTGTTTCTCTCTCCCTCTCAGTTTGTGTGTTTCTCTCTCCCTCTCAGTTTGTGTTTCTCTCTCCTCTAGTTTGTGTTTCTTCTTTCTCTCCCCCCCTTCTCTCTCTCTCTCTCTCTCTCTCTCTCTCTCTCTCTCTCTCTTCTCTCTCTCTCTCTCTCTCCTCTCTCTCTCTCTCTCTCTCTCTCTCTCTCTCTCTCTCTCTATCTCTCTCTCCTCTCTATTCTCCTCTCTCTCCTCTCTCTCTCCTCTCTATCTCTTCTCTCTCTCTCTCTCTATTTCTACTCTCTATTTCTCTCTATTTCCTCTCTCTATTTCTCTCTATTTTCTCTCTATTTCTCTCTCTCTCTTCTCTCTCTCCTCTCTCTCTCTCTCTCTCTTCTTCTCTCTCTCTCTCTCTCTCTCTCTCTCTCTCTCTCTCTCTCTCTCTCTCCTCTCTCACTTTCTCTCTTGTTCACTTTCCTCCTACTTTCTCTTCTCTGTGTCACTTTCTCTCTCTGTGTCACTTTCTCTCTCTGTGTCACTTTCTCTCTCTGTGTCACTTTCTCTCTCTGTGTCACTTTCTCTCTCTGTGTCACTTTCATCTTTCTCTCACTTTTCTCTCTGTGTCACTTTCCTCTCTCTGTGTCACTTTCTCTGCTCTTGTCACCTTTCTCTCTCTCTCTCTCTGCTCTCTCCTCTCTCTCTCTCATCTCTCCTCTCTCTCTCTCTCTCTCTCTCTCTCTCTCTCTCTCTCTCTCTCTCTCTTCTCTCTATCTCTCTCTCTCTCTCTCTCTCTACTCTCTCTCTCTCTCTCCCTCTCTCTACTTCTCTGACTCTCTCTCTCTTCTCTCTCTCTCTCTCTCTCTCTCTCTCTCTCTCTCCTCTCTCTCTCTCTCTCTCTTCTCTCTCTCTCTCTCTCTCTCTCCTCTCTCTCTCTCTCTCTCTCTTACTCTTACTCTTACTCTCTCTCTCTCTCTCTCTCTCCTCTCTCTCTCTCTCTTCTCTCTCTCTCTCTCTCTCTCTCTCGCTCTCTCTCTCTCTCTCTCTCTCTCTCTCTATCCTCTGTGTCACTTTCTCTCTCTTGTCACTTTCTCTCTCCCTGTTGTCACTTTCTCTCTCTGTGTCACTTATCTCTCTCTCTCTCCTCTCTCTCTCTCTCTCTCTCTCTCTTCTTTCTTTCTCTCTCTCCTTCTCTCTCTCTCTCTCTCTTCTCTCTCTCTCTCTCTCTCCTCTCTCTCCGTCTCTCTCTCTTTACTCTCTCTCTCTCTCTCTCTCTCTTACTTCTCTCTCTCTCTCTTTAACTCTTCCTCTCTCCTTCTTACTCTCTCTCTCTCTCTTACTAAATACTCTCTCTCTCTCTCTTTACTCATACTCTCTCTCTCTCTCTTACCATTTACTCTCTCTCTCTCTCTCTCTCTCTCTTCTCTCTTCTCTCTCTCTCTTCCTCTCTTCTCTTCTTCTCTCTCCTCTCTCTCTCTCTCCTCTTCTCTCTTCTTCGTCTCTTACTCTTACTCTCTCTCTTCTCTCTCACTCTCACTTCTTCACTTCTCACTCTCCCACTCTCACTCTCTCACTCTCTCACTCTCACTCCTCAACTCTCTCACTCCTTCCTCA